TAAAGCTCGACGACAATTAAGGATTTTAAAACTCCACGATAAAGATATTACAAAGAGTTTGAGGACTAAAATTACAAGTCATAAGCTCGAGGATGGCTCATACAATAATTAAATTATGTCGCGAGCACGAGCACCATGTGAGTACATTTTTGGTCAAGGATACTACCTTGGGAATGGTCGTGCTCGAGTTATGAAGGACAACTCGAGGATCTTTATCTTAAGAAAGGGAATTCTTAATCGGGGCCTTTTTAGAGTGTCGAGCTTGAGGATTGTTTAAGAAAACTTGAGGACTGTGTAGTTAGGAATATGACTAATTTTTAGAAGGTAGGTCTCGTAGGTCATGGGGCGTCGACGACGAGCTTTTAGAAAATCCTCTGAAGTACCTTGACCGAGGATCAAAAACAAATGTTCCTTCGGTATTGCACAGAGATGGATAATGAGCAAGGTTTAGAATTGACCATGTCAAGTAGACGATCCTGAGCTCGATGAGAGTCGAGTCCAGAAATTAAATTCCTGAGCTCGAGGCCCAGTAACTGTACTGGATTCTGAGCTCGAGGAAAGACTACTTACACAATAGGATTTTGAGCTCGAGGAGAGCCCTGCTCGAGGAGAGATCATTTACTCAGTCGAGCTCATTTGCATACCTCTAGCTCGAGCAAAGTGATGGTTCATTTTTTTACCAAGATTGTTATTCTGCGAATGGTCGAGCTCGAGCATCATTCGAAGTGTTTGCTCGTGATAATTACTTGGTGAGAACATGCCTGATACGCCTGTAGCATGTCTCGAGGTATGCTCATGGCAAGTTGGAGGTATTTTGCTCGCACTATGCCGTGAGGGCCCGTTGGTGACGGGACTTTGAGGAAGATCATGCTCGTAGCATGTCTCGAGGTATGCTCATGGCAAGTTCGAGGTATTTTGCTTGCACTATGCCGTGAGGGCCCGTTGGTGACGGGACTTTGAGGAAGATCATGCTCGTAGGTTTTCCTTGGGAAGAATTACTTCGATAAATCTTTTTGTGGGGTTTTTCCCAACGACTATTTCATACAAAATTTTGTGTTCTACAGTAAACATGGGCTCATAGGCCTTGATAAGTGATTTGTCGAAAAAAATGTGAGGGGCATGCAAGCCCGGTGAAATTTTTTGAAACTAAGTGTAAACAAATTAAACGCATTGGGCATGTAAGCCCGATAGATAAAGATTAAAATAATACCCGCAAGACGACAGAGGTCATGATATTCACTTGTAATAAATTTTGAGATTGTCGGCATTCTATGGCCTCGGCAGAGGTCTTCCCGATGTATCTCTGAGGCTGTATGCTCCTCCTCGAACTTGTCGGACAACTTCAAATGGTCCTTCCCATGTTGGACCGAGTTTCCCGGGGGTGTGGCCGGCAGCCTCTGCTCTTCTAAGAACTAGATCTCCCATTCTGAATCTCCTGGGGCGGACCTTGCTATTGAAGTACCGAGCTGTTCTGTTTTGGTAGGAGGCTACTCCCACCACGGCATGTTCTCGTACTTCCTCCAGGAGGTCGAGATGCTCAGTTGTATGTTCTCCAGCACCATGCTCCAAACGCCTAAGTGATGGGAGGTTGACTTCAATGGGGATTGCGGCTTCCACTCCAAAAGATAGCATGAAGGGGGTTTCCCCTGTCGTAGTTTTGTGCGAGGTCCTGTAAGCCCATAATATGGAAGGCAACTCATCAGGCCAGTTACCATGAGCACCTTCAATCCTTCTACGGAGGTCCTGGAGTATAATACGGTTGGTCACCTCAGCCAGACCGTTACTCTGGGGGTGCGAGACCGAGGTTAGGCGATGATTTATTCCGAGGGTGGTGCAAAAGTCTTTGAACTGTGTGTTGTCGAATTGTCTTCCGTTGTCGGTGATGAGCACCTTTGGTAACCCGAACCTACAAATGATGGACTTCCAGATGAATGCCCTGAGCTTGGGCTCTGATATGGTTGCCAGAGGTTCCGCCTCCGCTCACTTGGTAAAATATTCCACGGCTACTGCTACGAACTTTACTTGTCCTTTTGCCATCGGGAATGGCCCGAGGATATCTACTCCCCATTGCTCAAAAGGGGCAGAGCAACATATGGTGGTGAGCTCTTCAGCTGGAGTATGGATGACATTACCGAATCTTTGACACTTGTCACATTTCTTTACGTAGTCCGAGGCGTCCTTCTTCATGGTCGGCCAGTAATATCCATACCTTATAAGTCTGTAAGCGAGAGCACAGGCTCCCTGATGGCTTCCGCATATTCCCTCATGAACTTCTGTCATAGCTTGCACTGATTCCGAGGGTCTGAGGCATCTGAGGTATGGGAGCGTAAAGCTTCGGCGGAAGAGGACTCCTTGGATCATGCAGTACCTTGATGCTCTAGATCGGATGCTTCTAGCTTCCCTTGGATCCTCGGGTAGAGCCCTATTAGTTACGAACTCAACTATAGGGTCCATCCAAGAGGGCTCATTGTTAATGTCCATGACTGTCTGTTCTTGACATATACTTGGTTTCGTCGCAATTTTGATGTGGACTGTCTTGTCAAGCCCATCTACTCCCATGAAAACAAGTCTTGATAGCGCGTCGGCTTTGCCATTATCAGCACTGGCAATTTTCAGAATCCGACAATCCTTGAATCGTCTCTGCGGGTCATGCACTTTTAAACAGTACATGGTCATTTTTTCATCCTTCCTTTCGAATGCCCCTTCAATCTGCCCTACCACAAGTTACGAGTCGCTAAATAGCTTGACGTGTTCTATTCCCAAACTATTAGCAAGCTCTAGAGCAATGACCACTGCCTCATACTCTGCCTCATTGTTGGTGGCCTCAAATTCGAACCTAAGGGCACATTGAATTTTGGTAAGCTTGTCTGGGCTGTTGATGATAATGCCTGCACCCGAGCCCGACGAGTTAGATGCTCCGTCCACGAATATTTCCCACGAGTCAACCAAAGTCGTCGGGACATGGCCTGGCCCCCGAGCCTTCGGGCTAAGCTCAGCAACGAAATCCGCTAATACTTGTCCTTTGATAGATGGCCTGGGCTTGAACTCTATATCAAATTCTCCCAGCTCTATAGCCCATTTCAACAATCTACCTGAGACGTCCGGCTTCTGGAGTATCTGTCTGAGTGGTTGGTTAGTGAGGACTACAACGGGGTGTGACTGAAAATATTGCCGTAGCTTCCGAGCCGCCATAACTAGTGCCAGGGCCAGTTGTTCTGCCAATGTATACCTTGTTTCGGCGTCCAACAACACTTTGCTCACATAATAGATGGGCTGTTGAGCCTTCTTTACCTCTCTCATTAATACCCTGCTCACTGCATTTTGGGACACGGCGAGGTACAAGTACAATGTATCCCCGTGCTCGGGTTTTGTGAGGACCGGAGGGGCTGCCAACGTTTGTTTCAGTTCCTGAAGATCTCTTTCACAATCCTCGTTCCAAGTGAAGTTCTGATTGCCTCTTAGGACTTTGAAGAAGAGAAAACACCTATCAGCCGCTCTAGACATGAATCTATTCAAGGCTGCAACCCTACCTGTCAACTTCTGCACCTCTCTCTTATTCCTTGGTGATTCCATGTTAATCAAAGCTCGTATCTTGTCTGGATTCGCCTCGATTCCCCTGTGAGTGATCATGAATCCCAAAAACTTTCCCGACGCCACCCCGAAAGCGCACTTCATCGGGTTCAACTTCATCTTGTACCTTCGCATTGTCGAGAATACTTCTTCAAGATCGGCGATATGCCCATTCACTTGTTTGCTTTTGACCACCATGTCATCGACGTAGGCTTCGATGTTTTTCCCTATCATATTAGCAAACACTTTATTGATGAGCCTTTGGTATGTCGCCCCTGCATTCTTTAAACCGAATGGCATGACCTTGTAGCAGTAGATGTCGGAGTCGGCTATGAATGACGTCTTCTCTTGATCCTCTATAGCCATAAGGATTTGGTGATAGCCTGAGAAGCATCGAGAAAGCTATATAACTTATGACCCGAGGTGCTATCCACCAGATTGTCGATCCGAGGTAGAGGATAACTGTCTTTTGGGCATGCTTTGTTGAGGTTTGTAAAGTCGATACACACTCTCCACTTTCCATTAGCTTTTTTCACAAGTTGGCGAGCCAATCCGGATATTGAACCTCTCTAATAAATTGGGCACTGATGAGTTTGTTGATTTCCTCGCGTATGATCTCCCTCCTTTCCGGCGCAAATTGCTTCTTCCTTTGTTTTACAGGTCTAGCATCAGATTTCACATTTAGGCGATGGACAATAACATCGGCATCTATCCCAGGCATGTCTTCAACCTTCCACGCGAATACATCAATGTTGCGGGACAAGCACTTGACGAGTTCTTCTTTCAACAAGGCATCAAGTTCCCGATCGAACGGTTACTTTCTTACCATGCTCGAGCTCGACCTCCACCAAATCTTCAACGGGAGCAAGTCTGTCATGCTCGAGCTCGAGCTTATTGGTTGTCAATTGCATGACGTCAGTGCTCAAACCTTGGATGTTCGTGACGTAGCACTTCCTTGCTGCTGACTAATCTCCACGCACAACTCCTATGCCATGGTTTGTCGGAAATTTCATAGCAAGATGGAATGTGGATACTGTGGCCCTGACTTTGTTCAGTAGTGGTCTTCCAAGTATGGCGTTGTATGGCACTGGCATCCGCACAACATGGAAAGGTGTGATCTCTGTTACCTGTCTCTGTGCCGAGCCCAGTGTTAGGGGAAGGTCTACAATACCTTCGGGAATAATCGCTCCGCCTCCAAACCCTTGGAGGGGGGTCTTGACCATCTTCAGTTGGTTGGTAGAAATCCCCATCTTAACATAAGCGTCATGGGACAGTACATTGGCCGCGCTTCCGTTATCTACTAATATCCTTTTGACTTCAAAGTTGGCTATTATAGCGGATATGACCAATGCATCATCATGAGGATATGTTATGCCCTCCGAGTCCTTGGATCCAAAAGTAATGTCTTCTGTACCCTAGAGGTTGGTCCCCTAGGCCGAACCGTACTGTCGGGCATACTGTTTCCTCCCATTGTGTGAATCGCCTCCTGACGCTATCCCCCCAACAATAATGTTAATCGTTCCCGCCGTTTGTTTGCTCTCTTCCCTGGACTCCGAGATCTTTCCTCTATTGTATTCATTCCTCGGGCGTTTGTCATTCCCGATGTATGCCTTCAGGAATCCTCTTCTGATTAGTGCCTCAATCTCCCGTTGTAATATCAGGCATTCCTCTGTGGTGTGCCCATGATCTTTGTGATAGTCATAGTATTTGCTTTTATCCCGGGCTCCTGGTAGAGACCGCAGCCTCGGGGGCCATTTAAGTTCCTTCATGTCTCTAATCTCCATCAATATGTTGGTCTTTGACGTGTTCAAGCGGGTAAAGGGCCCGGGTAGCCCGTCAGGCTTCGGCCTTCCCCTGTCATAATCACGTCTCAAATTTGGTTCACTCGGCCTCTTCAGCTGGGTTTTCTCTGAGCTCGGGATAGTCTTCATTGCCTCCTCCATATTAATGTACTTCTTTCTTCGGGTAAGAAGCTCAGTGACGGACTTTGGGGGTGTCTTAGACAAAGACATCTTGAAGACCTCACACTTAACCGCATACATAAGAGCTGAAACAGCAGCTGTGATGTGGAGATCGGGTATTTGCAACCTTTCCCCGTTGAACCTCGTCATGAAGTTACGTAGAGTCTCGTTCGGGCCTTGGCGAAGCTGCATGAGGGTCGCCGCAGTCTTCCTGATGCGCTTACTACTTGCGAAGAAGGCGGAGAACTTATCGGCAAGGTCAGAGAATGATGCTATGGAATTAGGCTCCAACGTAGCGAACCAATCCCTGGCCGCGTTTGTCAAAGTCTGGGGAAAGGCCTTGCACATTACCGGATCTGGTGCAACTTGTAGGTTCATGACATCCGTATACACATTTAGGTGGTTGATGGGGTCAGTGGTCCCATCGAACTCTTTCACATGAGGGAACTTGAACTTGTCCGGGAGGGGGTAGGAGAGAACTTCTGGCGTAAAAGGAGTGTTGGGGATGAAACCCGTTATTCCCTTGGTATTCTTCTGTAGTCCTGCTGTAATCCCATCCTGTATGATACGGGCTAGCTCTCCTGAGTCCATAGTAACCAATCTCGAGGCCGAGGCTATCGGGGGTATGCCTGAGGCCCCAGTCCCACCATTGTCGTGGGCCTGACGATTATCCCGAGCTCGGGCATCATCCATGAAATCCTTCGGAGGGACCGGTGTACGCTCTGGTGCTGGATCCTGGGGTGTACTCCTCCCAATCAGCAACTGGGTCAGTGTTGCAACTCGCTGGCGGAGTTCTTCGAATGCTCCAGCAGTAACCGTTGCTGGTTGAGGAGTTGGCACAGCTGACGACTCTCCTTGATGTATTGGGCGCTCCGGGGCTGGGGGCTGGTCCGGAGCGGATGAGCTTGCTGGAAGATGGCTTGAACGTGTATTCACCATGACTTTTGGTAGCGTTTCCCACAGACGGCGCCAATGATCTTACCAAAAACCGTCACCTGTCGAATTCCGAGCTTGATCCCTGAGATGTTCGCGAACAAGATCTTCCGGTACCTGAAATAAAGGCGTTGAGGTGTGTCCTCGTCGCCCCTCCGATGCTTAAGTCAGACAGGGAAGTTTAGAATATATTGCTGAATATATGTGTGTAAAAACGTACCTTGATGCTGAATGAGAGTGCCATATCTATGGTGGTAGGTAGTGTAGTTCAAGTAGGATTTATCTCCTTATTTTCAGGAGTAAGTATTCGAAGGTAAGTAGGAGTTTGGACTTAACCTTATTGAGGTGTTACCAAAGACAAGACTCCTTCGTGATCTAGGATTTCTAGGTTGGGGTGTCCGCGTAGGATTTGGGATCTTGATGAATGAAGACAGGCGATGCCTGATTAAGGAGTGTGCTGGATTTGCCCGGGTATTTATCCCGAGGCCTCAAGTCCCGAGGACTTCCGAATTAATTATTAGAGCAATCTGGGAGTCATCATCCTCGAGGATATGTATGCCCGAGGACGATACAAACCCGAGGACTCACGTCCCCTGTTCAGAAGAAGGGGAACATTGCAACTCCTCGTGCTCGGGGTCACCTCAATATTGACCACATCAGTTCCTATTATATTCAAAATACATTTTTCTCCCTCTTATTTTCAATCACACATTTTCAATAAAATAATATTACACGTAAACCCAAAATTTTTTTATTTTTAATCACGTATTCTTCATCAAATACTATTTCAAATGCATTTTGGACAAAAAATGAGGCTCAAATGGGCTCTATATAAAACTCAAAAGGAAAAAAAATACATAACTACAGACATTTAAAGAAACATTTTCAAACTTGACAAACTTGTAAATTTCTTTTAAAAATCAGGTGGTATTAGATAAATAGGTAAAATTAAATAGTTTTTATTTATTAAATAGGTTAAATTTATAACGACATACAATTTATGGTCACGAATGTACTAGTCACAATCATAAATCACAAATTTTTAGTCTGAAACATTTTTTATCGGTCACAAATTATTAAATTAATTGATCGCGACTTTTTGGTCACAAAAACACATATTTTATAAGTCGCAATTTATTTATCATCAATCACAAATTTTCAAATTAATTGGCCATAACTTCTTGTCGGTCATCGATTATCAAATTAATTGGTCAAAATTATTTTCTCGATCACATATTATTAAATTAATGAGTCACAACTTGATTCTCTGTCACAAATTATCAAATTTACTAGTCACAACTATTTTCTAGTTACAATTTATGTCTCGATCACAAATTATCAAATGAATCACAATCAACCAAGACAGAGGCAGCACAGCGATGAAGACATACGAAGACAGAGGCCCTGCTACACAGCGACATCTCTTCGGTCACAGCGCCGCGAATCGCCTTCACAAAGACACTAGTTGCTTCAAAGCGACGTTACTACAGTGGTGACATCATGAGCGCCGCTGATGGTGGCGATGGTATCGCCCGTGTTTGTTTGTGATAGAGAGAAATGAGAGGATGTATAAAGAGAGAATGAAGAGAGTAGAGGAAGAAAAGTTAAGAAAATATGATTAGGGTTTGGAAATGAAATTGGGTTAGCAGAACGTGTGGGGAGGGGGTCAATATGTAGATTAAATTTCATTTTATAATATTATTAGTAATATTTAAAAGATGAATTATCACCTGATTATTGAGGAAAAGTTATTAAGATTTGATTTTTGAAATTGAAACTTTAGAGATAGAGTTTGGAGTAATTTTCCCAACTCAAAATGCATTTTGATGTTTTGAATGTTATCAGTGAAAACTTTGAGAATGCTCAAAACATAAAATTGCTTAAATAAAATTTTATTTATATAAAAATAAAATTTTTAAAAATAAAATATATGAAATTTTAAAAATTAAATTCTAAAAAATAAAGAATTTGAAAAAATAAATTCTAAAATTCTGAAAAAAAAATCTAGAAAAATAAAAATATTTCAAACCCTTAATGGTTATTTACATTTTTTTTTTTTTACAAAAATACTTTTAAATGACCATATATAAAGATTCTCCTAGAGTCCTCGGGATGGACGATGTGAGAGCCCAGACCATAGAGAAGAGCACTCGTTAATTATTTGTTCTAAATTTTTCCAAATTAGATAGCAACAAGGATGCATGAGATTTGACAACTTAGCCGTTGTTTGATCCCCCGTTATCTAAAATTCATTTTTTTCAAACTCATTTTTATAACACGTTCTCTCAATAAAATATTTTGCACGTAAACCAATAAAATCATACTTTTTAACCCGACATTCTTCAAAAATTCACTAGTACAAAACTCAATTTCAACTAGAAATGGGGCTTAAACATAGGTTTAATCAATTTCCTTGAAAAATTCAATGGCTATTTTGGCATATTTTTCTTCCAAGGTCCAATTCAATCACAAAGAAGACCTTTTCCCTTAGCACATGCCCAAATTCAAGATTTTAATAAGTGGGAATACTTCAAATATTAATAATAAATTTTAACAATATATTTTATGGGATTTATAACTTTTTACATTCCATCCATTTTTATTAAAATGTACTAAAAAAACTGATTTTTATCTAAATAAAAAAATGAGCATAATATTAAATTGATGTTAGAATCTCAGAAGATGCGAGATTAACAACAAAAAATAGCAATTACAAGAAGAAACTTGAAGAGAAACAAATTGTGCCACGTTAAAGGGATTTAAAACATTACTTAGGGTGCGTTTGATTGCAAAGGTAGAAAATGGGTGAAAAGAAAATGATTTCCAGCGAAAATAATTGCCTAGAAAATATTTTACATGGAAAGTGTCTATTAAAGTGATAATTTTTTTCCACAATTGGTTATAAAATTTGTTTTTATTGCCAAAAAGTAAAAAAAAAAAAGGAAAAAAATTTGTTTCCTAAAAAATCATTTTTTTTTAATCAAAATTTAGTGTTCGTTTGACTTTGTTTTACATGAAAATTGTCAATTAAAGTGAAATTTTTTTTTACAATTAGTTATGAAATTTGTTTCTATTGCCCAAAAAAAATAGCTAGAATTCCATTTCCCACCAAAATGGTGGGAAAACCAATTCACCAAGTTAGAATTTTTTTTACACTTGGTTATGATATTTGTTTCTATTGAAAAAAAAAAAAAAAATTAACAGCCTCTTTTGGTGGAAAAAAATTTTCCTCCAAAACAAGGAAATAAGGCGCGTGTGGGGTTGGGGGGTAAAAATTTTCCATGAAAAATTATTGTCATCAAATAGCCAAAAAGTCCATGGAAAATCAAGGCCATCAAACAGGGCCTTAAGGTATCTAGACAAAGGAATATAAGTGATTCATTTATCTCCATGAAAGAACCTCAAAATTGTTCAATATGCACATTTTTGTCTTGAATGATTTTACCCACTTTCTCATTGGGCAAAAATGTTCAAAATATTTTCTTTGTTTTTTTAAAAAAATTTAAGAACTTACCAAGAAATCTACATGTCATCCTTTTGTTCCAAAGGCTAGGGTATTTCACAGAGTCGAAAGTCCATGATCAATTTTCCACAGGTTAGGGAGTACGCACTACTTTCTTTCAATTTACATGCAGACTTAAAAAATAAAATAAAATCCAAAAGAGCTCAAAGAATTTCAAAGGCGAATGGCAGAAATCAACTTAAAATTTCCTTCAGAAATTTGGACAAATATAGAGGATGATGCTCCTTTAGAACAACTTTCCCTTATTATGCAAAGAGAATTCGAGAAGACATTGTTGCTTATATAGAAAACATTAATCAAATTCGAAACTTCAAGTCAATCATTCTCCTAAATTTGTAAAATGAATATTTTCAACCATCTTGGAGATATATTGGAAGACCTACATAGAGCCTTAGGATTACTTGCAAATATTCAGAAAAAACTCTTCAAGGAATAGCACGAAAAGAACATATGTGTCTATATATATCTCATTCATAGATGACTTTTCAAAATATGTCTATATATATATATCATTCATGAAAAATCACATTTGTTGGATGTATTCAACAATTATAAAGCTAAAGTTGAAAACCAACTCGGTAAAAGTAAAAGGATGTATTCAAAAAACTATAAAGCTGAAGTTGACTGTGGTGGTGAATATATCGGACCGACCCATTAAGGGCCGAGTCCCAAATTTTTTTCGAGCCTTTGCTCGACTCGGGCCAAAAAAATCTCGAACCCATTTTACTCGAGCCGAGCTCGAGCTTCAAAATTTTGGCTCGTGGCTCGGCTCATTGCCATCCATATATTAAGGTGGACCAGTTGGAAATAGGTATGTTAAGATTACATCACATGTAATTTCCATACTACACATCCATGATTGATCCATGCCGTTCAGTTATGTCGATATAAGTGACCATTGATGGGTTTAGTTACAATATAAGTAGTGAAAGCCGCTTTGATACTATATTGATATGATTGATGGACCGGATTGTTTGGGGATGCATTCGGTAATGATAGCAAAATTTTGAGTACTCATAAGATTATGTTTAATACACAATTATAAGGTAACACGTATAGCCCAAGTGGAAGATTGTAAGAATTTTTTAATCGATCATGTGAGCTTATATGCGAATTATTGTGTATTAAATTAAATGCTATCAATTTTGGTTAAACCCGTTTAAAGTGATCCAATAAGGTTTCGGTATTTTGGGTTTTAAAACATCTAATTAAAGTGTGGGCCGTTATGTGTAGAGACCAGGCATGTTCCTAATTTTATGATGGCCGAATTAGGTTAACAGGTCGTTAGTATATATATACGGTTATGGTCCCCGGATCATTCGTGAATTATTCATTCTGTTCTGACTCCCATCATCAGAGAGAAATAAAGGAACAACGTGTTGTCCGGAAGACTAAAAACCGCATGATTCATTCATTGCATTAACCATGTCTGATTCAGGTACGCTTTCGTTTTGGTTTATGAATTCATGGTGATCCAACATGA